CCCCCCCCCCCCCCCCTCCCCCCCTTCTCTCATTTTTTTTCGTTTTCTGCCTCCTGCGTCAAGATGCTCATCCGTGGGTCCAACGCGGTGGGCTACACGTCCTACCCGGACAACGTGGTGACGGAGTTCGTCCGCCTCGCGGCGCAGAACGGGATTGACGTGTTCCGGGTGTTCGACTGCTTTAACGACGTCGAGCAGATGCGCGTGTGCATCGAGGCCGTCCGCAAGGCCGGGAAGGTTGCCGAGGTATTTGTGCTACGTGTGTACGAGAGTACTAAAGTTTTTGAGGTTGCTGCGCGCGGGGTCCCGGGGAGCGGGTTACGCATCGAGAGGACTGCTGCTGTAGAGACATGATACACTGCTGTATGTGTAAACGATTCTTTGTATTTTGGTGGGTTGCATGTTGCTGTGGTGAGGTATGCACGGGTTTTTTTGAGTCATGGAGCGGGGGACAGCAGGTCGAGACACGAGGGGACGATGTTTTTTTTCCTACCGAGGGAGTGTTGTGTACGTTCACTTGTCAAGACAAACGTGCGTGAAAACAGCAACGGCGTTTGTATTGTTTTCTGGTGGCATTTCTTGACGGGGCTAAACTAAACGCACTGCTGCTGCTGCTGCTGCTGCTGCTGCTGTCGCACGCACGCCGTCACCGAACGCGAAAAACAAAACAAAACGCCTCTTTTTTTGTCTCGCGTCGAAACAATCATTGGTCGGTCGGTATCGGACACGCCAAAGGTGTGCGTGTGCTACACGTCAGACTTGCAGACGTCTCCCATATTTACGGTGGACTACTACAAGGGGGTGGCCAAGAGCGCCGCGGAGGCCGGGGCGCACATGATCGGCATCAAGGTGAGAAGGAAACGTTATAGATAGTAGTGTTAGACGCGGCCCAATTACACACGACGCACGTAGCTGCCGGGGTTGTTTCGGCTAGGGTGTGTTTACTGCGTTTCCATCATCATCATCATTGCCATTGCCATTGCCATATGAGCGACAACACAACGACAGCAACAGCAGTAGCAGCAACTCCGACACGTTATTTGAACGGTCCACGAAAGTTCGCAGAAAATTGTTTTTTGAAGCGGCGGATGGATGGATGGGTGGATTGATGGATGGATGATGGTTCGATCCTTGGTGTGCTCGTTCGTTCGTTCGTTCGTTGGTTCTGGTGCGCGTGTGTGTGCAGGACATGGCCGGCCTGTTGAAGCCGCGGTCCGCGCCGCTGCTGGTGGAGGCGATCCGCTCCGTCACCGACCTGCCCATCCACTTCCACACCCACGCCACCAGCTCCTGCTCGCTGGCCACGGCGCTCGAGATGGCCCGCGCGGGGTGCGACGTGATCGACTTCGCGACAGCGTCCATGGCGGACTGCACCTCACAGCCGAGGTAATATTGGTAGGCACGCCGTAGTCTATGGCGGAGGTTAAGCAAACATGTTGGATAAGTCATATAGAATCGGCGAAGCTGGGGTTAAAGGTGTGCCCCTGCTTGAAAGAGTACGATGTATCGATGCATATGCATGCGTAGGTTTGGTCCAGAACAAAGCAAGAACGCATGCTTGCACTGGTTGTCTCGGCAACACATCATTTACTGCGTACGTAAAGAGACTACTGTAGAAGGCTTGGAAGGAAAAACAAAAATAACGGTCAAATATAAATATGCGACGGCGGCCGAGGGAAGCACTCGAGTGTAACACCAGATTATTGTGGTACAATCACAGTCTTCTCATCTCCTTGGTCGAAATCTGCGCTCAATAAAGCTTGCCCTTCACGTTCGTTGGTTCCGTTATATTCTAATCTAAACCGCGCTAGGTGTCATTGTTTGGTGTTCCAAGCTACTAACTGCTGTACTTTGATTGATCCTCATGTGCCCGTTGTCTGTTGTTTTTGCATTCTCCGGAATCGACTCTCGAACCATAACAACCGGAAACGAACTACACAGCCTGAACGGTTTCTTGGCGTCCACCGAGGGGAGCGAGATGGCTCCGGACGGCACCGGATACCTGGGACTCGAGCCGTACGACGTGTACTGGAGCAGGGTGCGGGATATGTACAGCCCGTTTGAGAACGGCATGAAGAGCGGCACCGCCAGGGTGTTCGACCACCAGATCCCAGGCAAGATAGGGGAGATACATATTTCGTGTTCGAGGTAGAGGAAGGCAAAAGTAGTTGAGGTGTTGTTGCATGTGTCTGCTTGTGGGCCGGGGGTCTCTCCAGTGTACGAGTGTCGAGCGGTTGTTGGAATACGTGGTGTTTTTTTTCTTTTCTGTTATTTGGTTGTTTGCTGGAAGGGGAAAGTCCCCCCAGCGTATGTACGTGTGTCGAGAAGGGCAAAAGGTAAGTCTTGCGCTTAAACTGGTCGATCTTGCCGATTGTTGTGATGCCGGTCGGCAAGTGTGCGTCTCTTTCGACGTTCGTTCGTACCCTACGGACGGCACCTGGCGCTGAGGACAGCGCTTGCGCTGCTCCTCTGGCTTCTCTGGTCCCATGCTGTGACGGCGATGACACGTCGATTGGCTTGGTATGCATATTACATGCTTCCTAGAGTTGTGAAACGAGTATTATTGGAAGCGGGACATTTTTCCTCGCTGCGCATCGATGGTTTAGCTGTTGCACCGGGCGGGCTTTTGTTGTGCTCTGTTTTTGGGTGATACCGCCACACCGACAGAGAGATACGTAAAAAACTACCCCCGTGAAGATTGAGAGCGGGGGCATAGCGCCGCCGGTGACCGGTTTGATCCCTTCTCTTCTTCTATGATCTTTTTGAATGGCGGGCGGGGCGCATTCACACATGCCCCCCTTTGGAAATACCCTTCGCAAACGGTAGGATAGGGTAGCATCTCTCCAACGTTATTTCGCACCTCACTGCTGTCTTTTCTCGCGCGTTTGTTCGTCAAACGCGTGTGTGCAGGCGGGCAGTACTCGAACCTGATGGTCCAGTGCAAGAGCATGGGCATCTGGGACAAGTGGGAGGGCGTGCTGGACATGTACCGCGACGTGAACAACCTGTTCGGGGATATCGTCAAGGTATGGAACGAGGGCGCAGTCAATCGCTTTTCGTGTAGACATGGTTAATGACACGGGCGAGGCTTGAAGAGAAAAGAGATGTGCAATTGACTCAAACCTCGCGTTTATCAGCCACGCCTCTTCAGAGGAAGGAGAGAGAGCAGCCACGATGACGTGCTGAGCTGCCCTCCCCCCTTTGTGGGGTAAGCAAGCCAACAGCCCTTTTGCTGTTAGTGCCCTTGCGTCAGCCGCGGCCACCCCCGAGACTACGACGACGACAGTAGCGATCGTGTCCCGGCCCTACTGCTGTATCGTTTCGTCCCTTCGTCCGGAGAACGTTCCTGGGAACCGCACTCGGAACGTTCCAGGTACAAGCATGGCTGCTCCTAGCTGTTCCGCCTACAGCCAGTGTTACGATGTTTGCGACGACGATCTTTACCATATGTATCGATGGTTGGTGCCCGTGTTGTCCGGCGTTGCGGCCGGGGTTCCGCACAGGTGACGCCCTCGAGTAAGTGCGTCGGCGACCTGGCGCTGTACCTGGTGACGCGGGGCCTCAAGGCGTCGGACGTGACCGATCCCGCCAAGAAGGGGCAGGTGGATTTCCCGGACTCGGTCGTCGGGCTGCTGGAGGGGCGCCTCGGCTTCCCGCACAAGGGTTTCCCGGATGAGGTAGTGGGTTGCTATGCTTGCTGAGGTTGCCTAGGCGTGTTTCGCGTCCCGGAAAGGGTGCACTATAGGTGTGTTTTGTGTCTCGAAAAAGAGTATCGGGAAGGTATGTTGTGTGAAACGGTACACTAAAGGCGGTTCTTGTGTCCCGGAAAGGTACAGGCGGTTTTTTGTGTCACGGAAAGGGTACAGTATAAGGCGGTTTGTGTCCCGGAAATGGTACACTACTGGCGGCTAATGTCCCGGAAAGCGTTACACTAGAAGGCGTGTGTTGCTCCCCGGAAAGGGTGTTCTACAGGCGTGTTTTGCGGGCGCGCGTTTGTGGGAGGTGGCATCGACATCGTTTGACAATTTTTTTTGCAGGAAGGTTTTGAGTGTCGAGCGCGACAAGGAAGGAGAAAATGCTTCCTCCCGCCTCTCTACCTGTCTCTTGTCTCTCTCTCTGTTTATCTACCGAAACATGCGACCCCGCCACGCGCTTTCCTCCCCCTCACATTTGTTTTCACGTTAACCTGTACGTCTCGCCTTTATTTACGATGTTACTTTCTCTTGCCAGGTATCCAAGGCCGTCCTCGGTGACAAGAAGCCTCTCACCACCAGGCCCAGCGCCGCTCTCCCTCCCGCCGACTTCGCCGCCGTGAAGGCGAAGCTTCAGGAGGGCAAGTGCGGCCAGGTGCTCGGCGAGGTGACGGACGAGCTCGTTGTGTCTTCCCTCCTGTACCCCAAGGTGCGTGCGTCCTTGCGTCTAATTGTTGTCTCTTGATGGTTGTCTCCCATCTTTCCAAGGGCGATCACGGCACCCAATCCTCCCCCCC